GATGGGAACCTGGGAGGCAGTGACCATGAGATGGTCAAGTTCAGGATCCTGACACAAGGAAGAAAGGAGAGCAGCAGAATACGGACCCTGGACTTCAGAAAAGCAGACTTTGACTCCCTCAGGGAACTGATGGGCAGGATCCCCTGGGAGAATAACATGAGGGGGAAAGAAGTCCAGGAGAGCTGGCTGTATTTTAAAGAATCCTTATTGAAGTTGCAGGAACAAACCATCCCGATGTGTAGAAAGAACAGTAAATATGGCAGGCGACCAGCTTGGCTTAACAGTGAAGTCCTTGCTGATCTTAAACGCAAAAAAGAAGCTTACAAGAAGTGGAAGATTGGACAAATGACCAGGGAGGAGTATAAAAATATTGCTCAGGCATGCAGGAGTGAAATCAGGAAGGCCAAATCACACTTGGAGTTGCAGCTAGCAAGAGATGTTAAGAGTAACAAGAAGGGTTTCTTCAGGTATGTTAGCAACAAGAAGAAAGTCAAGGAAAGTGTGGGCCCCTTACTGAATGAGGGAGGCAACCTAGTGACAGAGGATGTGGAAAAAGCTAATGTACTCCATGATTTTTTTGCCTCTGTCTTCACAAACAAGGTCAGCTCCCAGACTGCTGCACTGGGCAACACAGTATGGGGAGAAGGTGACCAGCCCTCTGTGGAGAAATAAGTGGTTCGGGACTATTTAGAAAAACTGGACGAGCACAAGTCCATGGGGCCGGATGCGCTGCATCTGAGGGTGCTAAAGGAGTTGGCGGATGTAGTTGCAGAGCCATTGGCCATTATCTTTGAAAACTCATGGCGATCGGGGGAGGTCCCGGATGACTGGAAAAAGGCTAATGTAGTGTCCATCTTTAAAAAAGGGAAGAAGGAGGATCCGGGGAACTACAGGCCAGTCAGCCTCACCTCAGTCCCTAGAAAAATCATGGAGCAGGTCCTCAAGGAATCAATTCTGAAGCACTTAGAGGAGAGGAAAGTGATCAGGAACAGTCAGCATGGATTCACCAAGGGCAAGTCATGCCTGACTAACCTAATTGCCTTCTATGAGGAGATAACTGGGTCTGTGGATGAGGGGAAAGCAGTGGATGTGTTATTCCTTGACTTTAGCAAAGCTTTTGATACAGTCTCCCACAGTATTCTTGCCAGCAAGTTAAAGAAGTATGGGCTGGATGAATGGACTATAAGGTGGATAGAAAGCTGGCTAGATCGTTGGGCTCAACGGGTAGTGATCAACGGCTCCATGTCTAGTTGGCAGCCGGTTTCAAGCGGAGTGCCCCAAGGGTCGGTCCTGGGGCCGGTTTTGTTCAATATCTTCATTAATGATCTGGAGGATGGCGTGGACTGCACTCTCAGCAAGTTTGCAGATGACACTAAACTGGGGGGAGTGGTAGATACGCTGGGGGTCGGGATAGGATACAGAGGGACCTAGACAAATTAGAGTATTGGGCCAAAAGAAACCTGATGAGGTTCAACAAGGACAAGTGCAGAGTCCTGCACTTAGGACGGAAGAATCCCATTCACTGTTACAGACTAGGGACCGAATGGCTAGGAAGCAGTTCTGCAGAAAAGGACCTAGGGGTTACAGTGGACGAGAAGCTGGATATGAATCAACAGTGTGCCCTTGTTGCCAAGAAGGCTAACGGCATTTTGGGCTGTATAAGTAGGGGCATTGCCAGCAGATCGAGGGACGTGATCATTCCCCTCTATTCTACATTGGTGAGGCCGCATCTGGAGTACTGTGTCCAGTTTTGGGCCCCACACTACAAGAAGGAAAAATTGGAAAGAGTCCAGCGGAGGGCAACAAAAATGATTAGGGGGCTGGAGCACGTGACTTATGAGGAGAGGCTGAGGGAACTGGGATTGTTTAGTCTGCAGAAGAGAAGAATGAGGGGGGATTTGATAGCTGCTTTCAACTACCTGAAAGGGGGTTCCAAAGAGGATGGATCTAGACTCTTCTCAGTGGTACCTGGTGACAGAACAAGGAGTAATGGTCTCAAGTTGCAGTGGGGGAGGTTTAGGTCAGATATTAGGAAAAACTTTTTCACTAGGAGGGTGGTGAAGCACTGGAATGGGTTACCTAGGGAGGTGGTGGAATCTCCTTCCTTAGAGGTTTTTAAGGTCAGGCTTGAGAAAGCCCTGGCTGGGATGATTTAGTTGGGAATTTGGTCCTGCTTTGAGCAGGGGGTTGGACTAGATGACCTCCTGAAGTCCCTTCCAACCCTGATATTCTATGATTCTATGATTTAGAACTCTTTCCCATGCCCTCCCCAAACTCCACCTGAGCATTCCTTTCTGCTTTCCTGGACTTCTCGCTTTCCCTTTCATTCCACCCCATGGACACTTTTTCAAATGATAGCTGGACTTATGCACAGCTCTGAAAGTCAGCCCTTCCTTGGTAGCTCCTTTCCCAACAAACAAGTGTGTGGTGGTGGTGTTTTCTGTGCAATAAAAGCAAAGTTTTTGAATGATAAGTAATCTTTATTTGTTTCCTGAAAAATGTGATAGCAGGCAGCAGCAAGACATACACAAGCAGTTTAATCATTTGCTTACTGGAATCCTAGGCCACAAAAATCACAAGTACTTCCTAGGAAAACTCAATTTCATTAAGCATTGCAGCCCCGAGCATAGTAATATACATTACTGGTTCTCATTTAAAGAGTGTTGCCTCAAAGCCTCCCTGATTCAAATTGTCCCCCCTTGTGCCCCTCTAATAGCCCTGGTATGTGGCTGCTCAAATTCAGCAGCCAGGCAGTCTGCCTCAGCAGTTCACCCCTGAGAAAACTTTTCACCCTTACCTTCACAAATATTGTGCAACATACAGCACATGGCTATGACACATGGGAATATTATCCTTACTGAGATCTAACCTTCCATAAAGGCATCGCCAGTGCACCTTTAATCTGCCAAATGCACATTCCATGGTCATCCTGCACCTACTCAGCCTATTGGTGAACCGCTCCTTACTGCTATCTAGGTTTCCCATGTAAGGTTTCATGAGCCATGGCATTAACAGGTGTGCCGGGTCTTCCAGGATCACTATGAGCATTTCAACATCCCCCACTTTAATCTTCTGGTCTGGAAAGAAAGTCCCCGCTTGCAGCTTTCTGTATAGACCAGTGTTCCTGAAGATATGTGCATCATGCACCTTTCTGGACCCACACCACCCTTGATGTCAGTGAAACGCCTGTGGTGATCCACAAGTGCCTGCAACACCATGGAGAAGTACCCCTTCCTATTGATGTACTCCGTTGCAAAGTGGTCCGGTGCCAAAATTGGAATATGTGTTCCATCTGTCGCCCCTCCGTAGTTAGGGAAACCCATTTCTGAAAAGCCATCCACTATTTCACACACATTGCCAAGAGTCACGGTCCTTCGAAGCAGGATGCGATTAATAGACCTGCACACTTGCTTTAACTCATCCCCAATGATCGACTTCTCGACTCCAAACTGATTTGTGACCGACTGGTAGCAGTCTGGAGTCACCAGCTTCCACATGTGATCGCCACGTGCTTCTCCACTGAGAGGGCAGCTCTCATTTTGGTGTCCTTGCGCCGCAGAGCTGGGGTGAGCTCTGCACACAGTTCCAGGAGGGTACCCACTGCTTGTCATCCCAGACCTGCATGACGATGCGATCCCACCACTCAGTCCAAAAGTGACAATCCACCATGTGCAACTGTTCGGTGAATGCCAAAAGTAATCTAATGTTGCTCCTATCCATGTCAGTCAGCACGTCAGGCAACTCAACTGTGAATCCTGTTGAGTTAGGAACTTCACAATAAACTGCACTTCCATCCGTGATGTGTTAATGACAGAAGAGCATTGGAGAACAGTGCAGGATCCATCCGTTCACACAGAGATGGTGGGACGAACAGCAAATAAGGGCCGTTGAAAAATGCTGCGAACCAAAGACAGAAGCACATGGAATTCTTGGAAGGAAAGCAATGCATCATGGGACGTTGAGCCCAGACCCATGATGTGCTGCAATCCACTTCACCTTTCCACAAGACCTAGCAGTAGAAGGTGTCGAGCTGAACTTGTGGGATAGCTATCGACAGTGCACAGCTCTCAATGTCGATGTTAGTGCCCCAAGTGTGGGCACACTCTGCAGACAGAGGGAGTGAAGTGTGAACATGCAATACCGATTTTCTTATAGCGCTTTTTGATCGTCAACAAAACTTTTGCTGACAAAACTCTGTAGTGTAGACAAAACCTTAGTCATCAGTCCCAAAGGCAGAGTGCTTATGTTTCACTACACCTGTGACTGGTCAGGAATTTTTTAACAATGTTTTTTCCATTGGGAAAATGCTGATTTGTCAAAACCAAAACTGTTTCATGGGGAAAAGATCAGTTTTGATGGATTTCTCACTTTGACAAATTTTGGGAGGAAAAAATGCAATATTGTAAAAAAAAAAATCTCATTTCAACATTGTCTAAATGAGAAATTCCCTTTTTTGGCGGGTGTGTGTGTGTGTGTGTGTTTCAAAATGACTGTTTAGAAATTTAAGCTAATTATAGTAAAAACAAACTGAAACAAAGTTTAAAAGGTCAAAATCAAAATGAAATGTTCAACTGACCCACACCAATATACCCTTCCCCTCCCCATGGTTGTTGGTTTGTGCACATTTGCAATTTCGACTTTTCATCCTGATTCAGGATTGGAAAAATTATCAGAGTCTCAAAAAATTTCCTGGGCTGGGAGGACATTTTCCCACCCAGTACTACTTGTGGGCTTTTAGAAGCTGCTGAGTACTTGCTGTCTGCTCACATGCAGGGGTCCTGGAACAATTTGTATAGTGTGGCTGCTGAGAGCCATTGAACCAAACTGTAGACCCTGTACATGATAGAAACCACTCAAGCCAGAGCGTGTGTCAGCACCCCCTGTCCCCCCAGTTCCAGTACCCATGCTCACATGGACTTGTGAAAGCTTTTCAACCTTGTGTGTATGTGATCAGTCACTTATAAGATTATTTATTTTTCTTTTATCTCCATGTCTCTTAGAACCAAGAGCAGCAAAGAGGTGCAAGGAATAGGTCTGTTTATCCAGCCGGGGAAATCTCCGTCCCTTGGATCCCGGAGGTTGGTGTTTTCTGGAACCATTTCCTATTAGAGGATTGTAACGAGAGGCCTCTGCTTCTCTGGGAGTCCAGTGTCTCCCACCCCCATCCCTGTTTAATGAAAGCTTTGGTTCTGCAGACCAAAGAAAAAATCTGGAAAGACAGGAATCCCCAGATTCCTGGAGATTTGGCTTCTGACCCAGCCACCAAGGCACCAGGAATCCACCTTCAGCCTCTGGAAAGCAGCCAAATTGCTTCCCCCTTAAAGGTGATGTTTATTCAGAGCTGAGAAATAGTACAAAGAATTCAACAGGCAAATACATGACTGTGGCATGTAAGTGCCTCACACTGTGCTATTGTTCTGTTATTTGCCTGTTATCCAATCCCTGTATCTTGTGCATAGAGGTCTCGTCACTTCACTGACACTTCTGGTGAGCAGAGACCTTCTCAGGTGACCCTTGAGAACCTGAGTAAATATTTCCTTTGTTTTCTTTATGCCTCATTTACTCTTCCCTCCACTGTCCCCTTATCGTACTACTTCTCTTCAGATAAGCAATGCAGCATGTTGATAATGAGAGAGGCACCAACCACTGGGTGTTTTGCTAACTTAGTAAGTTCCAAAAGCTGACTGGACACTCACACAGATAAGAATGGCCTCTGCAATTGCTCTAGCTAGGAAACAAAGTACAGTCCTGATGCTTCAAGCAGGGCCGGCTCTAGGATTTTTGCCGCCCCAAGCAAAATCAATTTTGGCCGCCCCCCCCCCCGTTCTTTTCTTACCCCACCCCCCCGGCCCCGCCTCAACTCCGCCCCTTCCCCAAATCCCCAGCCTTGCCTCCTCCCCCCAGGCTCTCAAGCCTAGGAGGGAGGGGGAGAAGCGGCGTGCGCGCGCCGCGGCCACTCAAAGTCTCCCCCTCCCTTCCAGGTTTGAGAGCCTGGGATGGAGGGGGGAGCAGCAGCGCGCGAATCAGCTGTTTCGTGCGCTGCAGCCACTCGGGATCTCCCCCTCCCTCCCAGGTTTGAGAGCCTGGGAGGGAGGGCGA